GCGCCACTGTTGAATATCTTGTTTTCCGACGAGGTCACTTTTTGTTTAAATGGTACTGTTAATAGGCAAAATTGTCGTTACTGGGCAACAGAAAATCCCAACAGTTTCTTGAAATGAACGTATATAAAATTATATATATCTTGTAACTTATCCCACTTTCCGAAAATATCTGGATCAGCAAATAAAACTTTTAATTTATCTTCTAATTTTATTTTATTAATTGACTTTTGTTCTAATAGATATTTTGTAAATTCTTTTGCGTAACTTCTAAATTTTGAATCGTCAAAGAGGTCAAAAATTTACAAATCTTCAAAATTCGAAAAACGAGTATCTGTTTGTATAATAATAGTATCCGAAATTACAAAATATACTCGTTTTTCGAGATCTGTGTCTGTGTCATGCCTCTGTCTTTTTTGCGCAGTTTGGAAATATTAAGTGAATCCAAAATGTAAATGGATCCTAAATATAATTGGAAATCACTATCCTTACGAATACTCTGAGATTTTGCACCAGCTTTTTTATTCTATTTTTGGAATAAATAATGTCAGTTGACTGATTTTGAACAACATTGTATATCACATTGGTTTGGGTAAACACTTTCTTAAAAATATTTAAAGGAATATTAAAAGACTATACAAAATGCCAGTATGAGTAAAAAAAAACCACAGAGAAAATGGACGTGGGTCGCGCCCAATGGTTTACAAAAAATGAGATTGATTACATCCTATCCAAAGAAAAGAGCATAGTACAAGACGTTACCGTAGGAAGTGATCACAGAATTGTTAGAGCCAAAATCAAAATTAACTCCACAACAGACAGACAAAAATTTAAACCATCTAAAAAAGAGATAGATACAGAACTTCTTAAAGAACGCAAAGAACAATACATAAACCAGCTAAAAAGAAGTGACATATCACAGCTAAAGGGTCTGCAACTAGACGAATTAAACGATAAAATAACAACAGAACTACTAGAAGCAGGCCTGAAGATTGCTAATAAACAAAAGCGAAAACAACAAAAAATTAGCGCTAAATCACAAGATATGCTAAAAAAACGACGACAACTACTGAATGATAACAAAAGAAATATAGTGGAGTATACCGAACTGAATAAAACCATAAGAAAACAGATAAAGGAAGATTTAAAGAAATACCAAGAAGACCGCATTAAGAAAATCATATAGAAGAACAAAAGTTTAAAATCAATGAAGACAAATATAGGAAAAAGAAAACTAATCATGCTTAAAGCTGAGCACAATGAAGAAAGAGATCTAGGAGAAATAGTAAAAATCACAGAAAGATATTACACAGACCTATACAGTTCTAAAAATGACCCACCACTATCATCTAAACAGAATCTCACGAGGAAAATACAAAATGTTGGCTCAGAGGTATTACCAGAAATAACTGAAGATGAAATCGAAAAATCCATAGACGACATGAAAAGAAATAAAGCGGCCGGTGAGGACAAAATACTGGCGGAACTGCTAAAAGAAGGAGGAGACACGATAAAAAAAAATGCTAAAAATACTGTTCAACAAATGTCTGTTTGAAGGTAAAATACCCAAACAATGAAGAAATGCCAACACAATCTTAATACATAAGAAAGGAGACCGAACAGAGCTAAACAACTACCGTCCTATTTCCCTTTTGTCACAACTATATAAAACCTTCACAAGAATAATAAACAACCGACTAACGTATAAACTTGATAACTACCAACCAGTGGAAGAGGCCGGATTCAGAAAAGGATACAGCACAATCGACCATCTACATACGCTTAAAATCTTAATTGAGAAAACCAATGAATACAACCTTCCGCTGTACTTAGCATTCGTAGATTATGAAAAGGCTTTCGACAGCATTGAACACTGGGCGGTTGAAGAAGCTCTGGTCAATAGTAGAATAGATTAAAGATACCGACAATTGATACAGGATATTTACCAAAACGCAACCATGACCGTAATTCTGGACGACAAATTAATAACGGATAATATAAAAGTTAAACGAGGAGTCCGACAAGGCGATATAATTTCACCTAAACTGTTTACCTTGACCCTCGAAGACATAATAAAATCAACAGATTGGGAAAACAGAGGAATATGTATTAACGGAAAATACCTAAATCACCTTAGATATGCGGATGATATACTCCTGATCTCCTCGGAACGACAAGAACTGGAATTAATGCTGAATGAACTTCATGAAAAATCACTGCAAAAAAGGCCTAAAAATTAACTTCAACAAAACAAAAGTAATGACAAACACGGAAGACCAAGAGGCAATAAAAATAAAAACAGAAAAAATTGAACAGGTACATGAGTATATCTATCTAGGACAAGCAATCAGAGCTAATAGAGAAAATCAAACAGCCGAAATATCGAGACGAGTAAGAATGGGATGGGCAGCGTTCGGCAAACTTTCTTACGTTCTAAAACATCAAACAATCCCTCTACACTTACGAAGCAAGGTATATAACTCTTGTATCATACCGGTGCTCACCTACGGAGCACAGACATGGACATTTACACAGGCCAATTTGGATAGGATAAGGAAGGCACAAAGAGCGATGGAGAGACAAATGTTGGGTGTATCACTTAGAGATAGAAAACGTAACCAGTGGATCAGAACCAGAACAAAGACAGTAGACGCGATAGAACAAGCAGCAAAACTGAAATGGAAATGGGCTGGACACAATGAACGTCTCCAAGACGGACGATGGAACAATGCCATCGGAAAGTGGCGTCCATACAATGCAAAGAGATCAAGAGGCAGACCACAGATGATGTGGAAAGATGACATCAGGAAACAAGGAGGTCACACATGGCAGAGAACAGCTCAAGATAGGGAAAGATGGAGAGAACTGGGGGAGACCTATATCCAACAATGGAAGGATAGAGAATAGGTTCGAAAAAAAAAAAACAAAATCGTCTTCTTCAATAATAACATCAAAAACTTCAAAAAGCTGTTTACGAAAATCTTCTATCCACTACCTACTTGGGTAGTGAAAACTACCCAAGATTTAAAATTTCATCGCGTATGACAAACTGTTGGCATTTTTTTCGAAACAAATTGTTCTAAAACATTCGTCTGTTTAGGCGAGCTTGAAAAAATGAAGCAAATCCGCTTAAACTGTCAAAAAAAAAAGACAACACTCTTTAATTTTTTTTACACGTACCCTGCAAAACTAAATTTATTCTATGCGCATGACAGTGACTAAATAAAGCTTCCGGTGTAATAGTTTTAACTTTTACCTGGAGACCATTCAATTAACCAGACATAACAGTAGAGCTGTCATAAGGTTGCCCTACCAATTTATTTTTTATATCAAAAAAATTTTTTATCTGTACTTTAAAGTATCAAACATATAGTCTACCTTATGGCTTTTACTTACGTCTGTAAAACCTCTCATAAATATTACCACGTAACATGTATCGAACAACAATTGATAATTGTGAATTACATGGTATATCAGTAGTTTCATCTACTTCTAGCGATAAGCCAGCTGTCGGGGAACTTTTTTAATCATTACCCCAAAATATTTTTGTGTAAGTTGATTCGCCCCATGGCGAAGAGCAAAAACAAACAAGATTGCCTCTTTTTAGCATCTTTCATATTATAGCCCCCATAATAATTTTGACAAGAAAACACTAACTAAAAATTTAATTTTAAACATCATTTATTCAATTTATCAATGTAATACCTAGTAATACATAACGGTAATAACAGTAATATTGTATGTAATATACAGTTGATAAAAAAAATTCGCCCCTACAGAAAATATTATATTATAATATGATATATTAGAATCTAATAATACAAGAAAAATATATGAATTACAAAATAACAAGAAATAATCATTTACTTATATTTTCTGTGGGGGTGAATTTTTTTCCTCAACTGTATATAACAAATTGAAACCCATTGGGGTACAATTGAGGGTTGACAATTTGGGGTACTGTAACAAATTATAATAATAATATTAATGGTGATACAAACAAAAATTAGAATTGAAAAAATTAAAAAAAAAGAGAATAATTGAAAACATTCTTCCTTCACGTTTTGCAGAAATGATGTTTCATGTTCGATACAGTTGATTCAAAATTGGGACTTTTTGATGTAGAGCGATTTAAATACAATCTTCGGCGTTTAATCGATTTCTGTTCTTCGTTTTTATGTTCATTAGAGTGGAAAAGCCTTGTTCGTACAAATATGTTGTTCCAAATGGCAACAATTTTTTAAACGCCTCCTCATGTGCAATTTTAAAAGCATTTGCAGCTTTTGACATCCAAAAGACGACAGATTTGGTTTACTCTCAAATTGAAGTTCGAAGTTCAAGAATTGCTTCTGCAAAACCTGAAGGTTCTTCTGGTATCATAGCAATTTCACATTTAAAAGGATCTACAATTCAACTGACAGTACGTGTATCAAGATCTGGAAAGTAATGTGAAAACCGCTTTCTGAGTTTGATAAGATGGATTATCATTGTATCCTTGATGTCAGCAAGGCAAAAGTAATATTTTCGCAATCTTCCAAACTTTAAACAGAAGCTATCTTGTTCTGTTCTACTTTCTGTCTCCAATATAGCAGCTTTAATCCAAATGCGGACACTATTTCTCTAGCTGAAATGATATCAATATTCTTTCCTTGCAATTTTTTGTTTAATATATTTATAGATAGGTACTCTCAAAAATTTCCGCCAAATAAGCGAGATAAGCAACCCAGGAAGAGTTTTTAAACTTATCTGCGAGAATATTTTTTGACCAACCAAAAAAATTTCACTTCAGTTTTGAGAGTCCTTACTCGATTTAGTACATTTCCGCGAGAGAGCCACCTTACTTCTGTATAATAAAGTCCGTATATTGGTCCGTATATTCAGCTTCCCCGTCCTGACATAATTCATGAAATAGCCGCGTGTTTAGTGCATGTCCCTTGATAAAATTTAAAATCTTGATGACATCATGCATGACGGCTTCCAGTGTATTTTCTGAATATTTAACCATGGCACATAAAAAATCTTTGGAGGCTTTAGATAGAACCTTACAAGATCTCCGGAGCAATTATAAACCATTTGGTGGTGCAATGATTTTATTAGCAGGAGATTTTCGTCAAACATTGCCAGTGATTCCACGATCAACGCCAGCTGATGAACAGCTGTTTGAAGTCCTCCAATTTGTGGAAACATGTCAAGGTATTCAACTTAAGCAAGTATATGTATTACACCAATTACCAATCTGAAGACATATTCTCTAAACAACTCATTGACATTGGTAATGCAAATTTCCTATAGACACATTGACTGGTTGCATTAACTTTTCTCAAAGTTTTTGTCAGTTAACTTGATGAAAAGATGAACTTATTTAAAAGGTGTTTCTAGATGTTGCTCAAAATTACAGAAACCATGATTGGTTGAGCAAACGGGCTATATTGGCTGCAAAAAACAAAGATGCAAATGAATTAAATTTCAAAATTCAAGAACAAATTACAGGCGAAATGAAGATATATAAATCAGTTGATTCGGCTACTAACCAAGATGATGTCATCAACTATCAGCCTGAATTTTTAACCGCTGAATTTACCAGGATTGCCACCTCACAATCTACAATTAAAGGTTGGATCGGTAGTTATAATGTTGAGAAATATCAACCAACTACGTCTTTGCAACGGCACACGGTTAGCGATAAAAAAATTATTGAACAACGTGATAGAAGCAACTATACTCAAAGGAAAGTATAATGGAGAAGACCTTTTGATAACACGTATCCCAATGATTCCGACTAATGTACCATTTGAATTTAAATGACTACAGTTTCCACTGCGGCTTGCTTTTGTTATAAATAAGGGAAATCATTAGGTGTTTGTGGTATTAATCTAGAAAACCCATGTTTCTTACATGGTCAATTGTATGTTGCCTGTTTCCGTATTGGAAAACCATCAGATTTGTTTGTATATTTACCAGGTAATCAAACAGAAAACATTTTGTATCATAAAGCACTACAATAAAAATAATAGGGATTTTTTTAATAATTATGATTCACTTGTTTTACAATAAAGCGATTACTGAAAATACTCATATACGTTTTATTTCATTATTCTTTATTACATCGGTTATTAACCCTATGTTTATAATAATAATAATAAATAATTAATTATCTCTATGTTTTGTCATTGAAGCACCCACTTTATAAATATTTGTCACCTTTAGGTTCCCACTATTACTTTAGATTATTTTTTAATCAGGTTTGAACCTTAAGTTCCCCTCTTAGTTTGAACCCTCGGGCAGACATCCCAGTCAGGGTTTTTAGTGGGTCCAAAAGGGTGGCCAAAGTTCGTGGAAGCGAAGATACTTAGGTCACCCGAGCTGACCCTCACACACCGCCCTATCATCATGGTGACGAGGTAACTAACGGTTCTGTTCAGGAGAATTAAAGAAATAAACTGCCACATTCCAAATCTATTTGACAGAACGAAGTCTGCCGGATCTCCGTAGATTCTACACTTTAAAATATTACGATTTAAGCTAAATTGCTTTAATTAAATTAATTAATTAAAGTCATAATCAAAATATTTTATTTATAAACCAAATTAAGAAATAGTTAAACCAAATAACATTAAACATTTTGTCAAAGTAAGTGTTTGATATATCCACCATTTTCTTTAATTCATTCGTCAATACATTCCATAAAAGAACGTCTCATATTAAATAGCATCATTGGTTCTAAAGAAATTGATGCAGTATTTATTATAAGTATTATAAGTATAACAATAAGTTTTCTTTTGGGATTTTTATGCATTAAGTAATTATATTCATATCTCACTACATCACCAAGGATATGAATACCACGAATAATTCAACGTTCAGGAAAGTTGTATTTAAGTCTGTTATCATTGCCCTTTATAATGTAGTGGTGTACCATCTTGCATAAACCACATATTTCGCGTTAAGTTTGATGGCAATTCTTCCAACAAATCAATAAAATCATTTTATAAAAAATGTAAATAAATTAAACTATTCAAATTACAAGATAATTCGCATGTATGTAAAAAATAATTACCAATGGTTCCAAACCATACGTTTATTTAAAATTTATGTTTAAAAAGATTATCGTATGGTTTGGTAATGTAAATAAATTAAACTATTCAAATTACAAGATGATTCGCACGTATGTAAAAAATAATTACCAATGGTTCCAAACCACACGTTTATTTAAAATTTATGTTTAAAATGCATATCGTATGGTTTGATACCATTTGTAATTATTTTTTACGGACATGCTAATTACCTGTAATTTGAATGGTGGGATTTATTTACATTTTTTATAAAATGATTTTATTGACTTATTGGAAGAATTGTCATTAAACTTAAGCCGAAATATGTGGTTTATGCAAGATAGTAAGTACACCACCACCTGAGAGAGGGCAGTGAGAACATAATTAAATACAACTTTCCTGAACGTTGGATTATTCGTGGTAGTCGTATTCCTTGGTCATGTGGTGAGATATTAATATAATTATTTAATTTATAAAAATCCCAAACGAATACTTTATTATTATATTATATTTACTATATATTATACTTACAGTACTTATTTTAAATACTGCAGCAGTTTCTTTAGAACCAATGATGCTATTTAATATGAGACGATCTTTTATGAAATGTATTGACAAATGAATTAAAGAAAATGGTGGATATATCGAACACTTATTTTGTCAAGTTTAATGGTAATTAGTTTAACTATTTGTTAATTTAGTTTATAAATAAAATATTTTGATTATGACTTTAATTTAATATAAAACATAAAAGTTTTTATGTAAAATCCAATTATTCTGTTATTTTATCAAATCCTACTATTAACTATCCTGCTGATATATTTATTTTATTTAATATTTCGTTAACTATTAACTTTATTAAAGCCATATTATACCAAAATTCAAAAGTATTGATGTTTTTGTCTAATTTTCTTTCGTTCCCTGGAGTAATTGCGTTAAATCAGAATTATGTAGTTGATTTGTTAAATGCGATTATCTCGAAAACTGTTGAGTTTTGAAGTTATTAACAAGTATTTTTTTTTGTCAAAATAATGTATCTTTAATGTTTTTTATCACAAACACCAGTAACTTAAAGAGCAAAAAAGTTAAGTGCTAATGTATGCCACATATGTGGCATATGTGGCATATGTGGCGCCCTCTATAAGCTACATTGAAGTGTGTATTAAATTATAATTCCTGATGTTCAATAGTATCAGATATGAATTTTTATACATAAATGTTAACAAACATAAAAGTTATAGCAAACATTTTAATTTTTGCTATAACGTAAAGTTTAGAATCTACGGTTTCTTTTTGTACAATTACTTAAGGACCAGTACAGTGGCGGCTGGTGACTCAAAAATTTGGTAGTTCTGCAGTATTTTTTGGTTTTTTTAATTCAATATCTTTTAATCGTTGTATTTTACAACGAGGCTTTTAGTTTGATATTATACACCATATATTTATTCATTATATATCTATTAAAAAATAATAAAGAACTTACCGATTTTCTTCTTTTCAAATTGAAGATAAATCCAACTATATTAAAAATAGCAATGGTACATTATGGCACACTAGTAATTGTTTTATAGTTTATGTTTTTAGTAGAATTTTATCGATAAATACGCGAAACTAAGGAATGCAAACGAAAAAACACTACAAACAAAATCGCCACAACAATAATTGCATTACGAACTTACGAACTAACTACACACAGAGCCAAATATATTATTTTTTTTTATAAATAAGCTCGATTCGTCGATTTTTTTAAAGCAAACTTGTCTATAACTTTTTCATTAAAGTTTGGTATTTCTTTTATAATTGTTTTTTCTACTGAAAACATGGTTAATGCTACAAGTCGGTCTTCAGTCATGGAATTTCTCAAGAATGTTTTAATCCGTTTTAAACTCGAAAAGCACCTTTCAACTTCTGCCGTACTCATGGGCACTGTAATTAGAATTTGAAGCAGTTTTACAGTTTCTTGAAAAGGCTCTGTTAAATTATTTTCAATTAAAAATTTTAAAAAAGGTATTGCCCCATTAATGTCTCTACAGTCTCTTCTAAAATAAATAACAGATAATTCAGTCTTCAAGCGCTCCCTATCTAAATTTGGATATGACGCGCAAGTCAGGCTTAAATTATCATCTGGGAAATTATCACAATAATTATCAAATTGCTCAGGATAAAGCAATGAAGTTGCAAGTAGGTGATTTTTAAAAGCGAATCTATCATTTGCACAATTTATGATTATATCACAAACTTCGATAGATGCTCTCCGATGATCTACTGGACTGTTATCCTTCCGTAACCTTTTAGTTGGTAATGGTTCAACGCATAAACTAGAACCTTGGTCAATGGTATCATCTATTGAATTTCTAACTGAATTCATGTATCTTTCGAAATTTGACACCTTTTTATTGATTTCCAAAGGATCCGTTTTAGTCTTTTGAAGGGCATTATACAAAACGTCTACTTGTGGCATTATGCGATGGAAAAATGTTATCCAAAAAAACAAAATTTTGATCCACTAGTATTCTTCGAATGGAAGACGCTGAACTACAGACACCTGCCTTATCAAACGATTCTTCTATTTCTTCCATACATTCGACAAAAGAAGATCGATGTTCAAACACAACATTAACAGTTCGAATATTGAAGTTCCAGCGAGTTGGAGCGCCATGAGGAATTTTCTTTTGGACGATTTTATCTAAAACTGCCACTCGTTGTGGCGAATTTTTAAAAAAGGTAGGGATCTCATTTAAATTTCCAAAAAAAAGTCTAACTTGAGAGTTTTCGGAACAAGCCTTAGACATTATTAAATTTAATTGATGCGCGTAACAGTATACAAAATGAGCAAATGGATATTTTTCTTTGATTCTGGCTTGAACTCCTGCGTGCTGTCCACACATGACCGCTGCCCCATCATAACTCTAAGCAATTAGTTTATTATTTGAGTTTTCCAGGATAGGATCCAAAACACTGAAAATGTTTTTGCTTAAAGTATCTGCATTTAATTTTGAAGGTACCAAATATGTCCAAAATCGTTCTACCGGTGCTCCATTTCGACAATATCTAAATACTACAACCATTTGTGATTTTGCTGAAATGTCTGTAGTCTCGTCGGCCATGACAGCTAGATATGGAGATACCCGAATTTCCTCCAAATTTTTATCCTGGCACAATTCCAACATGCAGTCCAAAATATCATTTTGAATTTCTTTAGAAATGCCCTTAAAAACCGTCGATTCTTCCAAATGTTGTGCTAAAGTTCTATCCAATTCAGCAGTAAAATTTATGAGGCCGCGAAAAATTCCAGGATTGTCGGATGTTTGTGTCTCGTCGTGTCCCCGAAGCGCCAATTCGAAAACACTACAAAATTTTATGCAGTCTATAATTTTTGAGAGAACATACCTATTTTTTGTTACAGCTTCATTGAATTTTTGAATATTTATCCAGTATGCAGAATCTAACTGTTCTTTAATATCCACGGAGCCTAATAAAGCATGTTCCATTTGATTGTGCAAATGATGCTTAGAAGTTTCGTGCTTTTTTATTTTATCACTTAAATGTACTAAGTCTGTTACACCAACTTGCGTCCATGACTTATCACCTCCAAAGAGTACACAACGAAAACAGAAAAGAGCGTTTTTTCTGTTGCAGCCACATATCCAACTATTTCTCGTATAAATATCGCAATTAAATTGTCGTTTGTAATTTTTCCCTCGGCTTGATCCTTCTTTTTCGATTTTAATATCCGGCAAAGGCTGTCCTTTGCATTTTAATTCTAGTTTTTCGTCATAAGAATATTTAAAGAATCTCTTAACATTAATCAAATTATAAATAACATCCATCCTGAACAGCACTTTTATTCTCATATACTTAATAAAAATACCGAATTACGTGCAGGACAACTTATTTTAACAGTCGTCGCGTCGCAATCACCGATTATTTAAAATTACAATAAACGCAGGTTTGGACACACTAGTTCGAACTGCGACAAATGCAGCTCAAATATTGCTTTCAGTCATCGCCTGAAAAGTGTAGGCGAGGGGTTGAGCGGGTGTTATCGGGGATATCTTTAACAGATCACAGCTCGGAGTAGCACCGGTCCGGTCAAATAAGTGGGACTTGCTGTCGCCATGATATGCGACGGACGACAGATTAAAATAAAGGCGGCCATGCACGAAAACCATCTAAATGAATTTAAATTTTATAAGTAGTGATATTTTTTATTTAATTTTCAAAGTAATTTTGTTTGGATTATTTTGGTGGTTCTGCAGCTCCGCAGCACTTATATACCAACCGCCACTGACCCTGTATATATATATATATATATATATATATATATATATATATATATAATAATGATTTGTCTTTGAAATGCACTGAATTACAAAGTAGTTATTTACTGATATATTCGGTAAATTATTTTATTATTCGATAAAAGAGTGCATTAAAAAAATTAGGTTTGTGTAGACTTATCTTCATTGGATTTTATGATTAAATGATAATTATATTTTAGATAATAATCTTAAGAGTGTATAAAATAAACTCGTGTAAGCCGATTTTCTAAATCAGAGTCATGTATTTAAGATTAGCAATTTGTTGTTGGTTACTATACTCCTTTGCACAGAAAGGGGTAAGTTAAGTTTTTATTTATAAGTTTATTAATGTAAATTATATGGAATCGGATCTCATTTTTATTAATACATTGTGCAAAAATATAGCTCAACTGTAAATTAAAATTGATTATTAATGTTTAGAATTTGAAATTGTAAGTTGTCAAAATGCAATTTTAAATTTACTCAATTTATGCAATTATAATTTTGGTCTTTTAAGTTTAATTTAAGGTTTAGTTTAAGTTCTCTCTTCTTTCTCAAATTTTATGTGTAATGGCCTCAGAATAGAACTCTTTGTTAGGTTTATTCATTGATTATAAACCACTACCTAGATACCTCACTATAAGGTAAAAACGAATTCAGTGTTAAACTCCGCCCACTTACACCTCTTTGCCCCTGACGCCTAAGTACTACCTGACTGTATGGTGGCGACATTCATTGAAATATTTGCCAAGATTGAAAACTAAACTTAAGTTCCCTGGTCCGGCAATTCTCTAGTGCGTTAGAGGACGATATAAGGATGGCATTCAGCATTTTCACAAATAATTTTAACGTGCTTGTAATCTATATTATGAAATTAAGATTTTACTTCAGAAAAAACGCTAAAAATTGATTAATGAAAAACAGTAAAGGTTTTCTAAAAATTATTTATTTATCAACACAATACAAAAAAATAACACATACAATAATAAAAAAATATAAAATACATAATAAAATTAGCAGTGATAAACTACATCTCATGTAAATTACTTTTTTGTAACTTTTCAAACAAATTAATTTCCAGAATTGATGCAAACTAAAATATTTCAAGCTAATATACAGAATTTATTTCCAGATTTAGTCCATTCACTCACGGTAAAATATCGCAAAACCTCAAAGTTTAAAGAATCGCTTGGATTGACATACAATTTGGCTTACGCCTAGCTAAGATGTCAAAGGAAAAAAGATTATGCTTTTGCCCTATGGATTAGTTTCACCCCTTATAGGGAGTGAAAAAAATATATGTTCAAGATAAGTTCGGAAGTGCCTAAAATCAGTAATTCTAAGCAACTTTGGTTTTATAGAGGTTTTTTACTATGTCAATACTTTTCGAGTTATTGAAAAATAGGTTCTTATTCGTCAAATTCCATGTTGAATATTTCAACGTGAAATAATAAAAAACTGAAGCACTTTTCGACGAAAACTCATTACAACTTTTTTTAAAGTGTTTTAAAAAGGTTTATTTTTGTTAAGTTTCTTGCATCAAGTGTAAGCAAGTTATGACCAAAATATTCAGAAAAGCAAAACCTACATTTTTTTACTCTTTGTGATTTTTGGTGTCACTAATAAATTTTAAGTTATTTTGAAAACAAGCATTTTTTTCAAAATTAAAAGAAAATTGTTAAAAATTAACAATTAGGAAATAAGCCCTTTGAACAAATGAAACTTACAGATCATTATAATAATACAATAAAAACAATGACCGAGGTATCTATTAGAGAAATCAGGACACGCATTGAAATTGCAAGACAAGCATTTATAAAAATGAAAAAAATGTTTGTTAATCGAGATCTTATCTAGTTTTGATGGGAAATAAGCCATAATTTAACTAAAAAATGATTTTATTAACGTTTCGACTCAAAAATCTGGTGTCGTTGTCAAAATACAAAAATTATTAATGAATTAAACAAAACTGTTGCTGCTTAGTAAAGAAATTCTTCTAATAATTTATTTAATCTGACTCATTGATATTAGCAATTCAGGCATATATTATACATTTTAAAGTAGAAGACTTTAAAATGATATTGCCAATATTTATGAGTTGCGTTCCTGGGAATATATTTATATTCTAGAGCGAGAATTTTACTGTCACCATTGCATGTGGTTGTCTATTTAAAGACATATTACATGTTATGATTTTTTTGTGACGGATATTCTTGAGTTAGGGTAGATTTCATGTGATCGAATTAACTATCTTTCAACAAAGTCGTCCCAGGAACGCAACTTATAAATATTGGCAATATCATTGCCAATATTTCATTATGTACTTTAAAATGTATAATATATGTCTGAATTGCCGATATAAATGAGTCAGATTAAATAAATTATTATAAGAATTTTTTTTACTAAGCAACATCATTTTTGTTTAATTCATTAATAATTTTTGTATTTTGACAACGACACCCGATTTGGGCGTGGAAACGTTAATAAAATCATTTTTTAGTAAAATTGTGGCTTATTTCCCATCAAAACTAGTTAATTGCAATAATGCCACAAGAAAATAGCTTTAGAACAAAATCGAGATCTTCCTCTGGAGCTGAGGATAAGCGCATTAAGAAGCTATGTGTTCTCGACTTTGATACATGGAATGGAAAGATATACGCTAAAAGTAGACAATATACAGAAGTTGCATTTGAGATTTGGTGCTATAGAGGAATTTTGAAAATACCTGGATCTAATGAGTTACAAATGCAAAAGTGTTAAGGTTACAATGTTACAAAAGGATTGCAAGGTGATAAAAAACATCAATACAAGAAAGCTGGAATATTTAGGTCACATTACCGAAGGTGCGAAAGGCTTAAAATGCAATGTAAAATTAAGGGTAAAAGATCCATAGGTAGAAAAAGAATTTCCTGGCTGAGAAACTTAAGAGAGTGGTATAGTTGCAGCTCAATAGATCTTTTCAGAGCAGCCGCCAATAAAGTACGGATAGCTGTGGTGATGGCCAACCTTCGATAGGAGAAGGAACTTCGACAAGAATAGGATATAAATTTTGTTCTAATAGTAACATTGTACTACAAAAAATTGACAATTTATCTAGAAATGGCAATATAGAAGTCAATTATATTCTGTGCAAAATAAGAAATTGTATAGAGGTGAACTAAAATCACTATGATCTACTGTTCGATCGCATACTTTTTACATTTAAAAATTTTCTGAGGACTTACTGGAATTACGTCATCGAGGTTTTAAAAGCAAGTAGTGGTGAGTACCAAATGCAATCGATTTTGACTTTAACAATATACCACAAATTACCAACGTTAAAAATGAATAAAGTAAGTACATATCTTGATAAAATGACAGGGAATTTCCAATACATAAATAGATGAGGGCCATCTGCCTAGGAACAATAGGTAAAAGCTGATAAACGGACAGGATTATAAAGTTTAAAAACATCACTAATTAGGTCATATTTCAAAACAAAGTAAACAAGTATATTTAAATGTTAATTCAAACTAAGATTGTAAAGTTAAAATTTTAGAAAAAAAATTTATTATTTCTTGTTCTCAAGAAGTACTTTCATTATTGACAATATCGAAACATTTTATTCTTAAAAGTCGAGAAGAATTTTCTGAGGAAACGTACATATTTATATAAAAGTGCTATAAAAATGTTTCACTGCAAAATGATGCTGGCAAATTACCCTCTGTTTTAGGTCACTGATATCCATCAATATAATATCAATATTCCCGCAGTTTTTTTGCCAAATTTTTGTGCGCTCTACGTCTTTCAGGGGAAATTTAAAGAAAGATATATTGTTATTTGTTCCATCGTTTCTTTCAAAACATCCCGCGTAAACACATTAATGAGTTACACAGGCCATTTTATCTAAAATGTGAATCCTTTTTTTTTATAAAATTTCGCTATAACTTGTCACAACACTTCACACAGATAATACACTTAGAGGGTAAGTTCGGCCCTGACACCACTCCTATCTCCTCGCAAGTTAGAGAGAGAATGAGAATCTCGATACGGTTTTCGAGTAACGCCATCTAGTTTTTGATACGTCTTTCGGTTACCACGGGGTGAGCTATCTAGGTAGTGGTTTATAATCAATGGTTTATTATTGGGTACACATGCTTTCTGTATACATGTAGTGAGATGATCCACAGTAATGTCTTGATCACTTTCTGTCTTTAGACATAAGTTTATATTTAAGTTATTAGGAATAAATACAGTCCAATTGGTTTTTGATGAATAAAGCGTAGGAGGTTTAGGTAAATAAATTATTTCAGAAGACAGACTGAGAATTACTGGCGAGTGATCGGTTGTTTAATCGATTTAGTTAGTTGATTATCTGGTATACCTTTGGTTATACAGAAAAAAAGGAGATCCGGAAGTTTTTTTCTGTCTATTTTGGCCAATATGTAGATTGACCTGTAGAATATCTTTTGAGCTTATTAATACTAATTGCCCGAAGTTGTTGTCTGCAACTTGGGTTCATCAATCTAGATCCCCAAAAAGGATGTTTCGCGATTGTAATCACCACCGGCTAGATGATTCCAATGATTATGTAAGAAGGAAAAAATTTGGCAATATTACAATTGGGAGAATTAATCGATAATACTAAAGGGGGCATACATAGTTGGGGTCAGGCACGTAGCCAGGATTTGGTTTTGGGGGGGGGCTAATTTGATGGGTTGATTTCGGGTCTGCCTCATATGTAAACTTAAATGTAGACTATTTCAAGAATAAATAGTGTATACTTATAATAAAAAATAATGACGATGACGGGAAGAAATAAATAACATGAAAGACTTTAACTTTTAAAATATGTATAATTGAACAACATATATATAAAAGTGTACTTATTTACAAATTAAACATACAATTTACAGATAGTTTATTTTACTCCTGCTTAATTTACAGTATTGTGGTTCAATTCAATTAAATTATAGTAGCAGTCTCCTTTTCTTCGCGCCTGCCATTTTGTCAATTATATGATCGGGTTTTATATTTATATCTCGATGAGTGGCTACCATAACTAGTGCGCTCAACTTTTTATCTGACATTAAACTTCTGTGAACACTTTTCACCCTTTTCATTGTTGAAAAAGTCCTTTCCACACTGCAAGTGGTCACTGGCATAGTAGCTAATACCGTCAGGAGGTAATGTATTGTCCGGTAGTACGTTTTGTCACATAGTTCAAGAACTTTCAAAACTTCAGTCTCCTTTTTCAGTTCTCCTTTTGTACTGTTACACCACAGTATATACTCAGCTTTTACAGCAGCTAGAGATAGATTCCCCTCAAAATATTGAG